TCGCAATAAATTAAAATTAGAAAGAGGAGACTGTGGTAAATATTAATTAAAAATTAAAAGGAACACTCACCCCTAAGTACCTCAAATAATTTTATTTGAGCGGACACGTGTTTCGTCCACTTCATACGTGGGCATTATCAATGCGAGACTGTCGCTCAAATTAAATTATTTGTGGTAATTAGGGGTGAGTATTCCTTTTAATTTATTTTAATTAATCACAATAAATTATCTGTGAGAATGGACGTATTTTCCTTTTTATTTCCACTTGAGACTGTAGTCATTTGTTACATTTAAATACGCCCTTGTTAAGTTAGGAAATGCTTCATGAGTAGTACAGACAAAATGAAAAGAGATAACCGAATAATAGTGAGCGCTGCAGCGGTTAGAGGTTGTTTAGGTACGCAAATGATTAGGATCGGCTTTACAACTTCGTGGTTGGAATTATATCTTTAAAGAAGCATCTTTGCTTTCCTAAATTCATCAGAATGTTGAACTTTCTTTAAAGTCCGATGTTGGCAACATATTCAAATTTTGCTTGTCTGCATCCCTTTCTGTTACACATCAATTGGTGTAATGTTATTCCTTTTTCTTTATTAGTGACCGCTGCAATTTCTATCTGACATCTCTTTCCTGTGTTTATGATATTTCCTACAACGTCTGTCGTGAAGTGTAACGTTTGACTCCCTAAAATAATAATAAAAAAATTTTAAATTACTACAATCGGAACAATTTGTACCTATATAGATGTGTCTGGATATATTTTTAACGGGCGGCCTGATTTCGCATCCTACTGATATAGTTCCTTTGTTTTACTTTTATCCTGTTTTAAGGGAAACAAACACGTCTTTGATGTAGCATCTTTCAAATGTTAGAAATATCATGATATATATTTAATTTCCTTCCTCTTATACTAATAAAAAATACCGAAAAATCCTGGACATCCATCAATAATTGAACCTGGCAATTAAGATGTATNAATCGGAACAATTTGTACCTATATAGATGTGTCTGGATATATTTTTAACGGGCGGCCTGATTTCGCATCCTACTGATATAGTTCCTTTGTTTTACTTTTATCCTGTTTTAAGGGAAACAAACACGTCTTTGATGTAGCATCTTTCAAATGTTAGAAATATCATGATATATATTTAATTTCCTTCCTCTTATACTAATAAAAAATACCGAAAAATCCTGGACATCCATCAATAATTGAACCTGGCAATTAAGATGTATATCATAGACAGACAGAAGCATAGGTGAAGAAGATAGAAATAAAACTGTTTTTTTAATGGAGTTATAAAAACAAAATTGCAGGTTAAAAAAGATAAGAAAATTGCGTGCTGTAGAAAAGAAAATTTCGTTTATAAAACAAAAACAACATGACTGTTGTACGTAATTAAAAATGGTTTTTATAGGCTTCCTCAGTATAACGTTTTACTATCTATTCTTATAATGCTTGCATCTTCTTTCGTTTGTTGTATACAAGCGATACTATGCGATTCGAAATAGTATTTGTAACCAAGTGAGGCAGTGATATAAATAAAACCACATTAATAACGAGGAAGCTTGATAGTTCAAGTAGATCTCGAATCGCTTTCATATTTGTAAAAGTTCTGGTCTAATTCTGACTATAGATAGGTATAAATCTATGAGAAGAGCGCCACATTCGCAAAGAGGGCGTATACAGCCCCTTTATTCGACCACAAATTTGAAGGAACAGCTCGTTTTCGCCAATATCAATCTAAAAATTGTTTTTCGTCTTTCTATCTGTTTGTTATCTAAATAGTATCCATTTGTCGCTTATGCAGTACTCTTTTGTTTTATGTTAATATACATCATCACAATCATTATTATCATTATCATTATAGGGTCGTCACGCATCTCCACACTTTCTTAATGTCTTCAGCTAACCTTATATGTATTTAAAACTTACAATACTCCACATCCATAACAGTAATCTAATCTAATTTAATCTTAGTCTGCCTTTGTACCTATTTACACTTATTTCTGCTTTTAATATGTCTCTAAATAACCCTTCATGTTTCAGAAGGTGACCTATAATCGTATCTCTTCTTTTGCTTATTGACTTCCATAGCGCCTTTTGTTCTTCTCCTACTAGTGGCTCACATAATAAGATTTCTTGATTTGCTTGAGATCGTGAAACATTTTAATAGCTAAGTATAATTAATAACTTGTTGTAGTTGTAGTTTCGTAATAATTTATTATCCACTGTACAACGTTAAGTGCATGTTAAAATGAATGCTTTTTATGGTAAACAAATCATTTTTGAACCGTATGATTTATCCGTATTTTGTGAAACACATTACTTGGATCTATTTTTAAAATCCCCTTGGGCAATTTTCCATCAATTTTAAGTGGGCGAGTTCCCGGTTTAATTGTTTTTCTTAAGATTTTATTACACGAAACATTTGGTGTAAGCAATTTCGACTAATCGTTTTAGCCGGAACAAATGTTCATATATTTGTGAAAACATTGTTTCAAATCATTGTCTGATTAAATATAAAACAAAAAGAAGTGGAAAATCATATTACCAATCAAAAAACAAAAGAGCGTGCGGTTTTTTACTTACTTAATTTCATATGCTAAGAAAATATTTATGGTTTATATGTATTGATGACTATTGCACAATGCTTTCATGGTTTGTTTATTGGCCAATCAAAAAAATTGAAACTTAGTCGGAGCTACCTATGTAAGTAATAATACAGATGGGACTACCTCAGCAATTATTTCGATTCAACTGAAAATAATCAATTAACAATCGGCTAATCTAATGATTTATTTAGCTCCAGTAGCAAGTATATATTTACTACTTGTCTGCAAGGTAGGGATGTAATTCGCATTTTTGGAATATCTATCTACATTGTACAAAAAATTTGTATCAACCTTAAGTCAAAGTAGTTGTTAAGCTAATGAGATAATCTTTATGTATAAGTTTGATTAATATATTTTCACGTGGCATTAATAATTATTAATAATAATCAAAGTCCGATCAGATTATAAAGTCGGCGAACAGAAGACTGTTGACTGTTATAATTCTTAGCTACGCTGCCAAAATTTATTATTATTAATGCTATTGGAAAAATGTATTAATAAAGCTTTTACATTACCGAGTCTTTTCAAAAAATAAATTACACACCCATTTTGCTCGGCCAGCTTATTAGAAAATCATAACAATTTTTCACGAACTGTAACGTATAAAAAATAGAAGGAGGAGACTGTGGTAAATATTAATTAAAAATTAAAAAGGAATACTCACCCCTAATTACTACAAATAANCATTCAAATTGAGTTTGGTCATTTTTATTATAATATTTTGTATGTAAAATTTAAAAATATAATATACATAGACGCTAATCTGTAAAATTCGGAATTGTCAAATACGGTCAAGTAAATAGGAAACCAACGCTATCGATTGGATTATCAAATCAATAAATATGGTTTTGCGGTTAGCATATGAATATCGATTTGATATTGTCTTCCAGATCGTTTTGTTGAGGTGGTCCATGTACTTTTGCTATTCCAAACATTGAGTCGTGACTCAAGCCACCACTGAAGAAGCCGGCGAAACGTTTGGAACAGCAAAATTTCATGGTTCAAGGTAGAACAGCTCGGATGATAACATCTAATCGATCTACGTCGGTCGTGAAAGCGCAATAATAAGAACTACGTTTGCTGTAGTAATAAATCTACTCACTATCTAGAACTACGATTCTACAATTTATTACTAATTCAACAAATAATTAAGTACGTATTAGTTGTGGTTAATGAATTAAAAATTCTAGTACATACGTTAGTAGAGTTAGTGTACTTACTTTGCAGGTTATTCCCATTAAACAATGTCCCACTATTATCCACTATCATTCACTGTAATACTCATGTGTCGACAAAAAAATAAGAAAGTGCAGTTGCAAGAAAGCTTTTAACTTTATTATTATTCGTTTTATCATAACAATCACAAAAATGAGAGGGTGTATACATAGAAAATAATAACGTAGGCATGAACTTAATAATCAAATCACACACGTAAATGAATAATGAGAATAATCCATAAAAAAACAATGTTACAATGAATCAATTAATAATCAACTTTAGAAAATAGTCCAAGATATTAAAAACCGAATGGGTACATTCTTAATATTATGGGATCGGTAGGTATAATATCTATATGTATGTAAATATATTTACGACAAGGCACATGCGGTACAACATATAAATAAAGACTAGAATTGTAACGGTTTCGTTAGACAAGGGGCAAAAACGTATCATACAAATGGCAAGTAGTAGTAAAGTTCGTAAATAGGCAGTGGCAATAGATAATTGTTGGCAGATTAACCCTATACCCTTATTTAACAGAGTTCAAAATTTTATTCCAGAAAGAAAAGAAGAAATATAAATACATGTGAGGTTATAGGTACTTCTATGTAAAGTTATTTATATATTTATTGACCATTATTTACATAATGTAGTTTTTGAAACGTATTCGGTTACGTATTTGAATAATGTCATGGTGGAGTACGAACAGTGGCGACTGCCAAAACTATAGCACTATATGCTCGAACTAAACAAGTGCTCGATAACACGCAGTCACTCTGAGCTAATATTTTACCCATAACTCGCCAAAAGGAGCATAATTTCAAAAAGTTTATAAATTTCATGATTGTATACGTGTAACCAATACAAAATTAGAAAATTTATTAACAAATGGATTAACTTTACGGCAAAAGTTATGAGCTTCCACTAGTAATAAATTAATTTAAGATTAATATACGGGTTCTTTTTAATGTTGCCTTTTTATGAAAATAAGTTGCTGGAAGGGTATAAAGTTAATCAAATAAGTAAGATGTTGACCGAGATATCCTTAACCCAATAAGCTAACAGCTCGAAAGTGGTGCAAGCAATATACAAATAATATATATATATATTTTACACGTTAAGTTTAGAGTAAAAGGGGGTCAGTTCCTCCACCTTGTTAAATGTACTGTGAACGCCTCTCACCTGGAACTTGTAGGGTCGCAGACGTGCTAACAGCTCCCACAGGATTCGTTGCAGTGCAGCTATAAGTACCAGCGTCATCTGAAAAAGTCAATCCTAATAAATGATCATGTCGATTAGATGTGAAGGTAGTATTGTTTCAGGTCGTAAAAGGGTTCTACAAATATTTTTCTAAACAACACCCCAACGGCAAATTTTAGCTTTATGCGTTCAACAGTTAGGTATGTGTACCCCTATGTTTACTGATTCTTTCCCAAATGTCATCACTCCCGGACATTAATGATATTCCTATTTAGAATCCTGTAACTGCAGGTGGTTCACTGCTTTCAAAGTTATTGCGTTATACCTAAACTTTCGGATAACTTTTGTAAAGAGCAGTAAGCTTTTGATGAACAATTTACCTTATTTAGGCCCTTGCCAAACATATGAGGTACTGAAATTAATACGAAATAACAGTAGATGGCGATATATAGCTTGTATCTTAATATTTTGTATTCATTTAAATTAAACCCCACCAAGGATGCAAAAAATTGGAGATCACGCATTCACATAAGCTTTATCATCTACTGTTAGTGGGTATTGAGGCACTTGGCGATCTTAAGTCGTACAATTCTCTATTAAAATTGTATTTTTATAAATTCGCGGATCATATTCACGAAGGGGATTCAATGCTCAAAGTTTTGAAATACGGTATTATGTAAAAAATTGCAAATCCATGAAGGTTAACATTTACAGAAGTTATTGTTAACGTGAAATTCGAAAGCACCTCCTGGTAAAGCAACTGTTAATTACAACAGATAGTGTTGATTGGCGTCTAATGATGCATTGTAAGCTAATTATAGCAAACGCTTGGCTTAAGTTATGTAACATTCGTGGTATTTGGCAGGGTTAATTGTTGATTTATAGTGGTTGTGTAGTTCTGTCAAATCATTAAAATTACATAAATAAACACGTATTCGGTTACAACGATTCTAGTCCTCCTTCTGCTATTTAGTTTGGCAGTCAATAACATTTGGTTTATGAAATATTCCAACAGAGGCAGTATTTCGCCACCTAGTGGGTATTTTCTGCTACTAAAGTATTTCTTGGGTTAAAAAATAAATGATAAACACACGTAAATCAATTAATACAAACGTATAATTTTGGATCGCAATTTCGATCTCTTTAGATCTCATCATGGCGCTTTGGGCAGTAAATTAGTGACCGAGCCGGAGAAGGCCCTAAAGAGCAAGTTTATGTAATATCGCAATAGAGGCAGTATACTGCGATCTTTTGGGTATTTGGTGCTACTGGAGTATTTCATGAAAGTTTTGACTAAGAATTTAAACTCAAATTTGCTTTACTACCAAAATATTAGTAAACAATTCTTAATTTATGATTTCTTTTATGTTTAGGTCAATATTTTTTGCATAAATTGTTTTTATTTTCGGTTTAATTCTCCGTTGAGACGTAAATTTTATACTAGAAATACTTTTGATTTGGGGATATGCCAAAATGAGATTTGAATTGAAAGATTTCTTATGCAATTTTGGCAGGAATAGCTATCATAAATATACCTAGCGCATTTGATTCCAAAATACTCTGCCAACCAAAAATGGCAAATTTCAAGCAATATAAAAAGTGTTTTAATTTGTCTAATAATTTGTCGTACATTTACTGTAACAGCTAATAAGAAATTTTATTTCCTCAGATACATTTAGTTTAAAACTTTGTTCGGTATAGTTTTTGTAAAACGTGCTAAAAACGAAAAGTCAGATAAGATGGACGAAATGGAGGCAAAAATGAAGTGAAAGACTGTCTGTATGCCTAAATGATTTAAGGAACCCACAGAAAAACTTGGACTAGGCTAGATGGACCTGGAATCGGACTAATATCTAAGGAATTGTCTGATCATATATATCACGGTGAAATTTGTGAAAATATGCACAGAAACTTATGTATGAAATACCATCAGGGCAGTTGGGTGACACTAAATAAAACACTTTTCGGATGTGTTCGAACTCCAACACTCCCCCCCATCCCGCGTTGACGACTGGACTCCCTTTTTGTGTTGTTTAGTCTACACCGCTATAGAGTTCCCAGTGTTGCAGATAATATACATGCTTTTTTTCAACTTTACTAATCATATCGTTAAGAATTAATACATTTTTTATCATATTCATACCTGGATAAGCCTGTGGTATAGTAAGTCGACATACTCCATTCCGAAAGAAGAGCTGGTGATTGGGAGTATTAGAAATAACCATTCCATCTTTTGACCATAGCACAGTTGGAGTCGTTTCAGATTGAACTATGCATTCAAATCTTGCTGGTTGGCCCTTCACCACGGCAATGTCACGTAGTGGCTGTAAATAAAGCAAAGTTATTACGTATTTTAGAATAAAAGGATGTATACTTGTATATGTTAGAGCCATTACGAATAATTCGCTACTTTCAATTCCAAATCAGCAAATTAATCGTTCAGCAGGATCGTTATATACTGTAGGTATTTTTCTTTAGAATAGTTAATCTTCTGAAGCAAAATTTATAACTAACGAGTTTAGTCAAAATCGCTCTTATCGTGCAGGCCATACGATTTATGACAAAGCTTCAATATAATTGTTTCATTTCAATTAATTATACCTCTCAAATACCGATTCATGTTTTGCGCGGTGCAACGTTTGGATCGACTACGTATGCGCGGTGCAACGGTTTGTCGAGTTGACCGAGTCCGCCGTCTCTTGGCTTTTGTGGGCGCATTCGTGGGCTTTCCGAGCTGTACGGTGTTCGTAAAAAGAATAAGACATATGTATACAATTTCGGCATGATAAAAGAGTATAGACTTATATAGCTTTTAACTGTCTGTTTTCTTAGCATCCCCTAGTGAAATTTCATAAACTATTTCTAGAAAGAAAGAGAAAGTGGAAATTTCCCAAACACAGCATTTTTGTAGTTCTTCTGTGTTTCTGTTTGATTCATATATATTTAGTGACCTTTGACCTGAATTGGACTTTACTTTGGTGAGGTTATCTCCAGTCTCTCAGAGTCTTTCAGCGTCTCTGGGAGCGACTCCCACAGTCGTTCACAGTCTCTCAGTTATTGCTTAGGCGTTTTAATGGATCTCTCACAGTCTCTGTATGAGAGACTCGAACGATAAAATTGATAATTCAGAGATTCGAGTCTCTCACAGAGTGACTGAATGAATGAAACTTAAAGAGTAAAAGACTTGAGTCTCTCGTTGAAAGACTGGGATCTCTGAAATATGTTGAACTTAGAAAATTTTAACCATGTCCATCGAGACACCACTTATTGAGAGATTCGAGTCTCTCCTTCAGAGACTGGATACGGAATGAGGATCTCTCTATGAGCGACTCGAGTCTCTCGTTCAGAGACGCTAAACAGTTTTTTTGACAGTCTCTCTCAGCGACATCAGAGAGAATCGATGAGAGACGGAGACTAGAGTCTCGCTTTCAGAGACTCCGAGAGACTGAACATTTTTATCTCGGGGAATTAGTTTCTTTAATTACACCACCGCATTTAAAACTTTAATACATGTATTCGTTTGAGGTTATAATAAACAATTAACAATCCAACTATTCATTGCAGAATTGAAAGTAGCGATTTAATTTAATAAGCTGCTACATATGGATATATTTCGACAATAAATAACAATTTATTTAAATACCGTAATGAATAATGGTGCTCTTTGAGCTTGCATATTCTTCTTCGTAGAATAACTGGCAGAAGTACTACCTGGTGTACTTGTTCCAGGTGTACTAGTTGGAGTTTCCACTCCTCGTCCTATAATTAGAAAACACGTTGGAGTATAAATATTTTTTCGTTTTTAATTTGTTATATATATATAACTACGTACCAGATCCATATTGATTAAATGCCGGAGAAGTGCTAGGAAGGCTTGGCGAAAGAGATACAGGACTAGCTGAGGATTGTTCCCAACGATTTCCGATTCCCTTTTTTCTTCCGTCACTCTCGTATTCGGACATTTCACTTTCCGATGTTGGTTCCCATCTGACCGTTTTAGTGGGAACGGTGAGTTTATTGGGGGGCGCACCCTGGGACTTTGTGGTTTCATGGTAAACGGGCATTTCAATATCGCGACTTCTCTTAGGGGGTTCTATTATTGTCTTTTTAGGAACAGGTATTTCCCCACTTTTACCCTCACCGGGAAGAATAATTCCAAACTCATAACCAAAATCGTACTTGAAATAGATTAACCCAGTGTCAGGATCGACATGTTTAGTACCTAAAAATGGACATTGTACAAATAGGGATTTAACGTAATCACTTACTCTGACTACCATATTGTGCTGCACGAGAGTCTTCCCGATAAACTTGTGCGTCCGTTTCGCCATTTCTTTTGTCAGTTGTTGAAGAAGTTTTCTTCTTACTAATATCGCTCATGATATCAGACACGAAGTTTTGTGTTTTGGATTTAAACGAATGCGTCATATCTTCCATATGTTTTGAGGCCAACTTAGTCGCTTCTGATTTTGCTATTTTTTCAGGCATGTATCCATATTCCGGTCGAGGTCCGGGTTGATATACTAATTCTTTGGAAGATTCTGATTGTTTCGAAGATTGATTTCTGGAAGATTCTTCTTTTGACATTTTGTGGTAGTACGATGATTGACTACTTTCTTGTCTGCTGCTACTTTTAGTTTCTACTGAAGACGAATATTCGTTTCCGGCTCCTGAAAGACTCAAGGACCTGGTTGGTTGAGGTGGCTTTACTTTTCTATAACGGGGTTCTTCATTATCACTTTCTGATGGTACCCAAAGCGGCCTTATTTTCGCTGTTTCAACTTCGCTTTCGTAGTCACTTTCTCTAAACTCTCCAGGAATGAATTTTTTGGGCCTGGTTGGCGGAGGAGCACTTCGTCTTCTTTCAGACGTGTATTGAGATAAAGAGGAAGAATCTTGCTTTCCGAAAGTTATAACCTTCCTTGTTTGTTGTAAACTTACAGTTCGTTGACTGTTTTCTGTGGATTCTTTAAAGTGCATTACGTTCGATGTTTCAGTTTGTACAGCATTGTGATACGGTGTGCTTGTTGTTGATTTATAGTACTGGGTTGCCTGTGGTCCTGGAGCAAAACCTATTTCTGGTGGAGTGCCTGGTTGAAGACATATCTCTCGCTCAGGTGCTGCAGGTGTAGCGATGATCACGTCTGCAATTGGTTGTGGTTTTGCCGCGACAGGTTTTGGTTTATGAACTACTTGTTTCTTCTCTTCATGCTTCATGAATTTATCAACTTTAAGAGTTGGTGCCGGTTTTTCAATGGGTTCGAATTTGGGTCTGGGAGGGCCGGTGATCTGAGGTGGATTGTCAAATTCCGTTGGTGGAGTTGGTGTTCTCCTACCAGTTGACGCCTGCGAATGACGTCCGCTGGGTGTAAGTATGGGTCTGACTGGCTTATACGTTTTTTCGACTGAGGTGTCTTGAGGAGTCCAAACTGGTGGGATTTTTTTACCGTCGTAGTCACTCTCGTAATCGCTCTCGCGGAATTCGCCTTTTACAAACTTTGAAGGACTAGGCGGAGGAGGGCCACGCATTTTTTTGGGTTTAGAACACTCTGTTTGATAGTTGTACGATTCTCTTGTCTCGCTTCTGTCCTGCTTTTCGGTAACAGTTTCGGTCGTTGAAATATTCGTTATTATGGGGGTCGAAACTAATTCCTAAAACATCAGGTTGATCATGAGTAATTTGACTACAGGCTGTACGAGAAAGAAAAACCAAACACAGTAAAACAATATACAAAATACATAAAAAAAAGAAAAAAACAGATAAGGTACAAATAATAAAAGTAAAGCCATGCTGTGCTTGCAAAAAGGCTAAAAGAATTGCTGTAAAACAACGACATAATGCACACATTATCTGTGTAATCGAACCTTTTTCGTCGAAGATGATATATGTTTCTTGTATATTCTTGGAGGTGGCGCATGCGATGTTCGGGTTTGCTCATATGATTTCTGAAAGTTAGCATCGGAATACAGCGTTTGTTTCTGTTCCGTTTTAAGGTTGTCCTCTTTAAAGGTTTTTCTGACCAAAGTTCTTGGTTCGTCAGTGTCTGCCATATAACCATCTATAACAGGTTTATGTTTGACTTTGGGGGATTCTGGCTTTTGTCTTGGTGGTGGTGGTGCCTCCATGAAGATAGGTGGAGATCCGGGTTTAAGTACAGGTTCCGTAGGAGCAACTGGTTGTCTAGGAGATTCCTGTGCCTTTGGGAAACTGTGCCTCGCTAATTTTCTTTCCAATGCTGCATCTCGTTTTATCGTTTTTCGGAAGTCAATTGTTGGCCTAGGAGGGCCACTTGATTCTGGTGGCTGATCAAATTTCGATGGAGGTAAAGGTTCAGGTTCAACTGACCGAGAACGAAATGAAGGTGAAACCGTCGGTGGTCGTACCTTTTTATACGAAGGTTCTTCGGTGTCACTCACAGATGGTTTCCATTTTGCAGGAATTCGCACTGCCTCAATGTCACTTTCATAATCACTGTCAGTAAATCTGCCTTTAACAAACTTCGAAGGTGTCGGTGGAGGACCAGCTTTTAGTGGTTTTGGTTTTTCCGGTTCGGGTGAAAACGGGAACGGTTCAAGATCAGGGAACCTTTCGAATGGTTTTGATTCTACGTCTTTTTTTACCTTTTTCGGTGGCTCAACAAATTTAATTGGTTTTGCAGGAATTGGGGGCGGTTGGTATTGCTCATTTTTAGGCGGAAGAGGCGGCGGGATGGTGCGGACAGCTCCAGCGGGCAATTTGGCGGGTTCTTTTTCTAAATTTCTTTCTAAGTCTTGTTCTATTAATTCAACATATGATTGGCGTCTCTCTACTGGAGGAGCATAACCGATTTCTGGAGGTGGTCCAGGTTCTAAATATACTTCGTCTGTAATATCTTGGACTGAAACGGGCCTAACTGATAATGAATGAACTGATGGAGTTGTGGATGATGAAGCAGAAATTATTTTACTAGTGCTTGTTAAAACATGCTCTTCTGAGCTTGGCGGCGGCCAAGTTTTTTTTAATTGAGACAGCTTAATATTGTTTATATCTTTGATTTCTTCTCTGTACTCTTTTGATATCTCATCTTTTAAATATTTACCTTCCGAGTGAGTTGCTTCTTGAAATGAGTCATGTTTAAATTGATGCTGAAGACCAGTTACTTCAGCAACATAATGTATCGGTTCAGGAGCAGACACAATCTTTGTCTTTTCAAAACGAGATTCACGCTTTTTTTCAAACGGAGCCCACTTCCTTTCCAACGTGCTTTGTGTTGAGTACGACTTTTCTTCGTGTGTCTTCTCAAATGATTGCTCTTGAGAGCTAACAGATAAGGCTGATATGGGACGAGGTGCAGTTGCTTGCTGTTGTTCAACTATATGTGAATAAGAAGACGACACAGATGGGGATGTATCATATTCAAATGATTTTTGTTTTGTCCACAATTTCTCCATTGCAATTGCTCCTTCATTGGGTTTGGGAGAGGCGGATCTAGTTCTTTTATGCACACTTTCTGCTGTTTCGAATTTTCTAGATGAATGAGTTTCTTCTTTTTTGCTCAGCTCTTGAAAGTGTTTCTGCGCGCTGGCAAAACTTTTCGTCTCAACGGTTTGATCTGTAGAAGGAAATTCGGTGTGATTTTCTATTCTGGTTGTCTTGATAGTTGTGTCTTCGTGGGTTTCAGGAATTGGAGCGTAGCAGATTTCTGGAGGAGGTTCAGGTTTTAAAACAAACTCTTCTTTAGTAGTCGTTGTTTCCGAAAATTTTGTTGGTATTTCTGAACTTACGATTTTCGTTTCTTTTTGAAAAGTTGATGTTTTGTAACCCGTGTCAATGGCTGGTTTGCTAATTTCCTCGTATCGTTTGTAAGTGCTAGGTACTGGGGTATGCTGTATTTCCTTTTTTGTCTCGGATTCTCCACCTTTGTAAATTTTTTTAACACTGAAATCGATTGTTGATTGTTTTGAAGATGTTTGAAATCCAGCTTCTCCAGTAAATGACTCCTTCTTTGTTTCTGTGGTTACCGGTCCACTGACATCAGTTTTAAGAATCACTTCTCTGCTAGTAATCGGAACCTCCGGAACGATGAATTTTGGTAATGATGGTACTTTTGGAACTTCCGGAGTTGTATGGTCCAATGTAATAACTTTAGATTCTTTTGATACTTGTGTTTCTTTCATGAATGATTGCTGACTTTGTGAAAACATAGACGACTCAGAAGATTTACTTTCGGATGTTAATGTTTCTCCTTGGTGACTGTAAGGTGTAGTTGTTTTCGAAATTTCTGTTTTTGAAACAACAGAACGTTCAACCTCTGGTATACTGTAACTAGCACTGTCTATCGTGGTTGTTGTAAATGGCGTTTTATTCGCTTCTGTGGTGAACTGCGACTGCGACGTTGACTGAAGAAACGATTTTCTTTCGAATTCCGATGGCGTCTCCTTTCTTATTATTTCAGTTTTCGAAATAAGAGAAGTTGGTGCTTCTGGCAAGAAATGTGTTCCTTTATCAATAGACGATTCACTTTTGATTAATTTATCACCTGAAGATGAATATGATTGTGACATCGAAGAACTTGATGTTTGGAATATCTTTTTTTCTTGAGTTCCATATGGCGTGCTAGATTTATACACTTCAGATTTGGAAACTACAGATTTTTCACCATCTGGGAAAACGTATCTCGCACTATCGACGGTGGAAAACCTCTGTGGAGCAATTTCTGGTTCCCTTTTTACTAAATCGCTAGATTTAAAGATCTCGGTCTTCGAAGATATGTCAGGAAATGCAGTTTTGCCAGTAGAAGATTCGCTTTTGACGAATTTTTCGCTACCAGAAGTATATGATTGTGACATAGAAGAACCTGAAGTTTGAAATACTTTTTTTTCTTGAGTTCCATATGGCGTACTAGATTTGTACACTTCAGATTTGGAAACTACAGATTTTTCCCCATCAGGGAAAACGTATTTCGCACTATCGACGGTGGAAAACCTCTGTGGAGCAATTACTGGTTCCCTTTTTACTAAATCGCTGGATTTAAAGATTTCGGTTTTCGAAGATATGTCAGGAAATGCAGTTTTGCCAGTAGAAGACTCGCTTTTAACGAATTTTTCGCTACCAGAAGTATATGATTGTGACATAGAAGAACTTGAAGTTTCAAATACTTTTTTTTCTTGAGTTCCGTATGGTGTACTTGATTTAAAAACTTCGGTTTTTGATACTACAGAGCTTTCGCCATCTGGAAATACGTATTTCGCACTGTCGATAGTAGAAAACCTCTGAGGAGCAACTTCAGGTTCTTTCCTTGCTAAATCGCCATACTGAGATGAGAAAGTTGAACTATAAGCTTGACTTCCATGTGATTTAGAGATATGCTCTTGCAAATTAATTGGACTTGAAGATTTAAAAACTTCTCTTCTTGAAACCACTGATTTGTCAATTTCAGGATGTGGAAATGGAACTTTATCAGCGGATGATTCACTTTTAATGAACTTTTCACTCGTAGAGGAATGCGATTGTGACATTGAGGAACTCGACGTCTGAAATACTTTCTTTTCTTCAGTACCATATGGCGTACTTGACTTGTAAACTTCTGTTTTTGAAACAACCGACTTTTCTCCATCTGGAAACACATATCGTGCACTGTCAATAGTAGAAAAGCTTTGTGGAGCAACATCTGGTACTTTGCTTGTTAGATCGCCGTATTTAGAAGATGTTGAACTGTAGACCTGACTTTCAGATGATTTTGAGGCATGCTCTTGTAGATTTATTGGACTGGAAGATTTGAAAACTTCCATTTTTGAAACGACTGATTTTTCAACTTCAGGAACCGTAAAACTGGCGTTATCAACACTTCTAACAATTGTAGGTGCTTGTGCAGATTCTTTTGTGAAGAATTTTTCCGATTTCGATTCTGATTTTGATTCGCTAAATTGACTAGACGTGTGATAATGACTTTCAGATGATTGAGATGAAATTTTTTCGGCGAGGTTTGTGGGAGTAATACTTTTGACAATTTCCTTCTTCGTTTCGATCGATTTTTCTATTTCAGGTAAAGCAAATGTACTACTATCAAATGTTTTCGTTGATATTGGTATTCTTTGCTCTGTAGAAGTCACTGACTTTGTTTTGTCTTCAGTAGAGGACTGAATTAAAAAATATGAGTTTATATTGTATTGTATAGGCATAGTAATGATACATTTATAATAGGAGTAGGCAGAATTAACTCACCAACATTTCGTGTTTGCGTACGTCTTCGAAGACGACAGTTTTTACAACTTCCATCATAGTGTCTGGAGTTGGTTCGTAAACGGCAAAATCAGCAATACTTTGTGCTTCACCTCCTTCATTTACAGCACGAACCATGTACTTCCCTTGGTCCTTCAATTCCGCTGAAAGAAAATTACAGTTAGAAAAAACATTGATTAGGGATGATGAGGGTACCGTGGATAGAGAAGGTTAGAAATGAAGAGAGGACTCTATGGAAGTATAGGCAATATAGGTTGGTAGAACACCTTCTAAGGCAAGGTCTAATCAGAGACATATTAGAGACAGAACGAGGAGTTAAGAGGAGTAGAGGTACACCTAGATTAGATTACTGTTTCCAAATAGTTAAGGATGTGGGATGTTTTAGTTTTAGGGAAATGCGAAGATTAGCTCAGTAAAGGAAGGAGTAAAGGTGCGTGTCCTACCACTCTTAGAACTGACGACCTTATGATGATGATTGGGTATAAGTAATGACTAAAGCTATACCTTTCTCTATTATTAGCGTGTAGCTATTTCCTTGTCTTAAAATCCTTCTGCCTTCTCTTGTTTCGGAAGTCAGGGGAATACCATCTTTATACCAAGAAACGGTAGGCTCTGGTGTACCAGTTACTTCAATCTCCATGCGGATACGATCGCCCTTCTTTACAACCTGTGCCTGAAGGCGACGTCCAAAAACAGGAGGGAATATGACCTCTGAAAAATAATCATTAATTACGTTATAATCTTTTTGTTTAAAGATAGAACGTCTTACTTCTGACAACCAAGTCGGACGTACTGACAGCTGAACCTGCTTCGTTTACTGCCGTGCAGGTGTATCTACCTGCATCATTTGATGTAGCATTTAGTATTTCTATTCTAGGACGACCCGAATCATATGATATTTTAACGTTGTCAGTTTGTCGAAGTTCTGTGCCATTTTTAGTCCAAGTAACGGTGGGTGCAGGCTGACCGTCAACGATTCCTTCAAGTACCACTCTACTATTTTGATCGACAATTTTTCCCATTATTGGATTAATAAATTTGGGAGGTCGAAGCTTTATTATTTTCTTCTGAGTAGTTAACATTTGTTCTCTTTCTTTCCTTGTATCATCGGTGATTGAAGAGAATTGTTTCTCGTGGTCTCCAAAGGTGCGATATTCCTCTACTTTGTGAGATTCAACGATTTTCGGTTGTTCGTGGTTCGTTTGTGTTACTGACTTTTCGTCGTGAGATTTGATTGTGTGTGTCTGGATTTGAGGTTCACTCTCTGAACTTATCTTCTTTACAGTGGAAGAGGATTCTACTTGAACATCTTGTTTCAGAATATACGAAGATTCAACATGCCGTTGAATTTCTGTAGAAGGTTTCGCTGGGAATAGGCTGACATCGAGAGAGGGTTGAACTGACAGTTTTGCACTCCAAGTTGATGTACCGGCTTCGTTTTCAGCGATACAGGTTATCTTTCCTTCATTCGTTTTGGTTACAGTTGGTATGGTTAGAACTTGCCGATCGCCAGATGTAGATACCAAGAAACCTTTTCCCGACACTGGCTCATCATTGAAGAACCATCTTACTTTAGGTGTAGGTTTCCCAGTTACGATGCATTCGAATTTGGTGGATGTGTCTTCTGACACAGTGCGATCTGTGAACCTTTCGTTGAAGAAAGGTGGCGATTTTATATCCTCGAATGGTTTTTGTATATCGACGGGTTTAGCCGTTTTAACGATCAATTGTGCGAAACATTTTGCTTCACCCAGTGAATTTTGTGCTTTCACTGTATAAACTCCTCTATCTTCTGGTTTGACGCTATCAATTTGCAATGAGACGTTTCCCTGTTGATCGTACGTTCTCACAATACGATTGGATTCGATTATCTCTTGATTATTGAGTAACCACTTTATTTCGGGTCGAGGTTGACCATTTACAGTCGCTTCGAAAATAACTCGTTCGTTTTCAGAAACCAAAACGTCCGACAAAAGTTTACTAAACTTTGGCGTCGATCCAGTACCGTTGATTTCTTCGTGTGGAGGTTTTGGAGCGGGCTGTTTGTCAGATAACGGTGTTACTATTAGCCTGCATTTGCTGGATGCCTCGCCGGCAGAATTTAGAGCGACGACCTTGTACTCTCCAGCATCTTCAGAAAACGCTTCTTGAATAATTAAAGAACATCTGTCACCTTGAAACAAGAGCTGAAAGTCTGACGATTCTTTAACCGGTGTATCGTCCCGGTACCAAATCACTTCGGGCTCGGGTTGGCCAACAATCACACAGTCTAATCGCACTTTTTGACCTTCAAACACTGACGCGTCTTTTAGAGGCACTTGAATCGTTGGTTTTATCGGTTCCATGTCGCTCGCTAATTCGGAATCGGACGTTTCTGTCGGCAGCCTGCCTTTTACGGTCACATTACATGAACTTATCGCTTCGCCGGCGGTGTTCGAAGCGGTCACCGCAAAAGTCCCAGCATCTTTCGGGAATGCCTCGGATATTACTAGCGTCGCTCTTTTGCCTTCACGCAGTAGCTAAAATTAAAATTATATTTAGCAACAACGATCGCAATGTCAGCTACATATGCGTTGCTTTATAAAGAAGTCATTTTGAATAATATTCAAAATATCTGCATCTTGTCATATCCAGATGTAATTTTTTATACGCATTTTTGCAATAAGTTTCCGATTAATCAGTGAACAAGCTAATTTTGGTATTTGACACTGTGCCAGAGCTAAATCGGACTGTAATGAGGTGGGTGTTCTAGCGTCTAATAAAATCGTACGTCAGTTTTACGTGTTAATTCAAAGATATTTGAAAATAAGTAGGTGCATATTTGTACAACTTATTACAAATTAAATTCGAGTAGAATGATAATAACATTGAGTAAAACATAACATTCATTATCGAAAAAAGCCCATTGATTTTTTTTAAGCGTCTATGAAGTGAATTAATGAACTTGGCAAATGCGTTGATATTCGATGAGGGTTACCATAAAAAAATTAATATGCATTAGTCAGCGAAGCGGTTTTTAAATTACTTTTGCTGCATTATGAAAGTCAAAAAATTTATTCGCAATTTTTTTGCACGGTTATTTTTAGGCACCTGTTTTATAAAAATGAAAAAAATAATGAAACATTGTATTAAAAATAGATTAAAAACATTCTCTTTTACTATAGATTGTAACTATGCTTCACTGAGAATATGTTGTACAATTTACATGAATCATATCGTGTTGTCAGTCATTGTTTTTAGGTATATGTGTCGCAGTTGGTATTACAAAATCGCTAATTTTCAAGATGAAAAACAACTGTAATTTTAGAAATGCTTAATGACTTTACATATCTGCAGATCGAATTTTTGTTTATTTATTAATTTTATTTGGTTGTCGATATCTTTCATCTCGATTCGTTTTATAGTAATTTTAGAAGAATTTAAGTTCAAGAGAATTTTAAAATAGTTTGTCAGAATTAAATTTCTTGACTTAAACACGAAAAAGTCAGTTTTATTGCTAAACATATGTACGAGGTGGTTTAATATCGCGGAAATGGTATATTAATAGATAATAATTCTTCATTAATATTTAACTTACTTTCAAATCTCTGGATTCCTTAATAATTTTTCCGTTTTGAGTCCAAGTTAAAGTGGGTGTAGGAACTCCAGTAACTTCACATTCTAATTTTATCTTCTGCCCTGCACGAGCCATTACATTGGAAAGTGGAACGGCGAAGAAGGGAGCTTCCATTGGCTGGGCAGCTATGGATATTAGATTTTCAATTTAAATGTATAATTATCATAAACTCTGCAAACATCTTACGTTCAATGTTAAGATTTGTCCTGCTTTGGGCAACCCCCAGTTTGTTGGTAGCTTTACACGTATATTCGGCCTTGTCGTTAAAGGTCACTTTCTCAAACTTCAATATTGCTTCACCATTGTTGTACGTTATCACATAATCAGGCGAATTATCAATGCATTCGTTGCCCTTAAACCATTGAACGGTCGGCAATGGATAACCCTCCACTTTACATTCGAATTGAAATTTGCTTCCCTCTTTTGCAAAACCGGGTTGCAAAAGTTTCACAAACGTTGGAGGAACTAATTGCTCTTCCTGTTGAGGTTCTTTGACTGCCAGGAACGCGCTGGTTTCCGCAGATCCTGCTGCATTAACTGCTTTGCAGCTATATCTGGCAGAATCTTCAGCGAAAGTTTCTTCAATTGTTAATGCGCAAAGACCGTGTTCAAACGATGTCTGATAATCTGGATTGTTTTGAATTGAAATGCCATCTTTATACCAAGTTACCACTGGTGTTGGGGTTTCGGTCACGGTACACATGAATGTGAATTTAGCACCTAATAATTTATCATGTTTAATTGATGATTTACTTGAAGATTCGTTATAAAGTGAAGTCAAAATAATGTTTATATGGGGTTGTTCGGAAAGTCATTTCGTTTTTTCCCGACAGAGGATTTAATTGTATTCTTTTGTACCCAACTTCACATTTAAGCCGTATAATTTTTATATGCTTTGAGAGCTCATATAGCAAGGCTTGTGTGTGAAAAATTCCAATTAATTCTACGCAGTAGTTTTTGGTTGGTGCCCTTTTAAATATGGAGAGCGATGAGCAGCATTTTCGACATATCTTACTGTTTTACTACAGAAAGGGTAAAAATGCTGTTCAAGCCAGAAAGAAATTGACCGATGTGTATGGAGAAGGTGTATTGACGGTACCCCAGTGCCAGAACTGGTTCGCTAAATTTCGATCCGGCAATTTTGATGTCGAAGATGCACCACGTTCGGGAAGGCCGGTTGAAGCTGATAAAGGCATTAGTTGATGTGAACCGGCGAATAACAACACGTGAGATCGGATTGAAGTTAAATTTATCAACTTGAAAGGCCTGGGATTATCCTCGAAGCTCGATGTATGGGTTCCCATGTTCTCACAGAGAGAAATATGTGTCGTCGCATTGACGTCTGCGATTCGCTTCTCAAATGTCACGAAAATGATCCGTTTTTGAAGCGCATCATCACTGGGGACGAAAAATGGGTTGTATACAACAACGTCAAACGCAAGAGGTCATGGAGCAAAAAAGATGAACCGGCTCAAACCATTTCCAAAGCCGATATTCACCAAAAAAGGGTGATGCTGTCTGTTTGGTGGGATTTTAAAGGAATCGTTTTTTTGAGCTTTTACCGGATAACACAACGATTAATTCGGAAGTCTACTGTCATCAGCTGGACAAACTGAATGATGCACTTCAACAGAAAAGGTCAGAACTAATCAACAGGAAAGGTGTAGTGTTTCACCAAGACAACGCGAGAGCTCACACAAGTTTGGTCACTTGCCAAAAGCTTTTACAGCTTGAATGAGATACAATGCTACACCCACCATATTCTCCAGACCTGGCACCATCGGATTATTATTTGTTCCGGTCACTCCAAAATTTTTTAGACGGTAAAACCTTCACCTCAAATGAGGAGGTCAAAAACCTCCTCGATCAGTTTTTTGCCAGCAAAGACCAAAAATTTTATGAGCGTGAAATTATGCTACTACCAGAAAGATGGCAAAAGGTGTTGGACCAGAACGGTCAATATATAATTTAATAAAGTATTTGTTTATTATACGAAAACTGTCTTTCATTTCCACAAAAAAAAAAACGAAATGACTTTCCGAACAACCCTATAATTTCGGTACTTTTTAAAGAAACATTTTTCATATGTGTGCGACTGCAAGATAGTACTAATGAGTAAATTGGTGTAAACTCCTTTGATTATGCGCAGCTAACAGCTAATGATATTATTTTTGTAAAACTACTCCTTGTTTTTTTCTAATGAACGGATGGAGTGAGATCAATAGAAAAAAGGCATATTAATACAAATAGTCAACTGCCTCCGACTTATGTACTGTTTTTTCTATTTTATTTTCAAAATGAACAAAGACTATTCTAAAGCAACGTGGAATAAATAGACATTAGAGTGATGATTTATCTTTTTTGAGGTGGTACCTATATATATTTTAATATTTTTGTTTAATAATGTGACCACTTTATTCCATTAATATGCAAAACAATACCAATAATATAATTGTAAAAGTCCTTTTAAAGACGTCGCTTCGTTTAAAACCTACTTGCCTTAATTTAGAAATTGTCATCAATTGGAAAACTGCCAAAACATCACGAATTGCATCCATTGCAGTTTTAAATTATCAGACAGTGACCCAGAACATTGAAATATTTAAATACTGCTACGTACGTACTATTTTACATCTACGTAATTATAAAAGCTGATATTAAAAATAGCACTCCCCTTTTAATTGCTTTAATAAAGCATCCAAAATACATCTTTCTTTGAATAAATACTTATTGCAATTTAAAAACTCGGAAAATAATTTTTTGGTAAATTTATCAGAATGTTTTTAATTATAGTTTAAATGATATTTTGCCAGTAAATATCCAAAAAAATGAAAAACAGTTCAGTAAAAACCAAAAAAAATGTTAAAAAAACATATTTTTTTACGTTTTAGTTCTATTGAAATATACTTAAAATTATGTAGGTTTTTAACAATATTTGTATTCCTTTTTAAATGAAAATCGTTATTTTTGTAGTACATTTTAAAAGCACTTTTAAATAAAATGTTGGCAAAGTTTTTAATAGACATGATGGTACCACAAACAATAGTTGCCAATGTCAACGAGTTAAAGGATGTGTACCAAAGTTACAGTTTGGATTATTTATTTTACTATCCGTCAAACCTATCTCGCCTATACCACATTTTGAACGCTTCTGCGCGCCCACGTTTCGTACCCGTGCACAGCCATATTCCAGACAATCTGTTTCGTATTTCTTAATTAGTCGTTCGCGAGCATAGAAGAGATTTCTTTTTGCTATAGGCGCAATTTGTCGTATAAGACATATTTGTTTTGTTTATAGAATAGTTTAAATAGTTTAATATAAGCACTTGGGAAAGCTAGTTGTAATCGAACCTCTTCACACAATAAAGAAATCAATCGGTGATTAAAATTCTTAATTAGGTGTATTTAGAATTCCAAATAGGATAATTGTATAATTTCTAAGAATTTCAACCGCATTTTTATCAATTTAAAAGAAGAAAATGACTAAAGAGCTTTTCCACACAAAGCTTACCTTCTTGAATAACGACGTCCGACAATGGAGAAATGAAAACTGGAGGAACCATTGGAGTAATTGCTTGTTGTGGAACTTCTTCTCTTACAATTTGTATTTCTTTAACCGTTTGCGATGTCATGCTTTCTTGTAACGTTTTGACAGCTGATTCTGCAGTTAGTTTAGCCTCTTCAGCTGCTCTCTTTGCATCTTCAGCGGCCTGTTTTGCTTCCTCAGCTGCACGCTTCTCTTCTTCTGCAACCTTTGCTGCTTGTTTAGCTCTTTCAGCTTCAGCTTTAGCTGCAGCCAATTTGGCGTCAGCCTCCGCCTGTTCGCGTTTTAACTTTTCTTGTTGTTCTTCTGATAACTTTAGGTTTTGCGAAAGGATATGCAATTCACTGATTATTGAACTGAAGGATTCTATTATCTCCTTATGCTGAATTTGAATCTACAAAAAATTATCATGATCAAATCAAAACCGAATCTAAAATGGACATGTAGTTTGGACAAGAGAATTTTGGAATAATTGACTTTCCACAAAGAAAATTACCTCTGTTTCTTCCTTAGACCATCCTGGACTGAAAAGTTCTTTGGATAATTGAGACATGCTGTGAATTCTTTCACTTTGTTGTGCTTGTCCTGGTTTTACAAAATTTTCGACTTCATGAAGTAGCTGTTGTGCCTCTTCGGGTCTTTTTATTGCTGATGTTCGTTTAGCTACTGATACCAAAATACGACTACCATCTTTTAACCATTGATCAGCCTAAAATTTAATATACAAATATGTTTGCCATAGCTTTTCTATAATGAGTTACCTCATTGACTATTTCGTAATATTTTGTGCTTAGTTCTATTAAATGTTTGGTGTCCTGTGTCTCTTTCTTGAAGCTGGACCATTTTTCTTGAAGTTGATTAAGATTAAATTCTATTTGCGGCGATTGAAGATGATTTTCGTGAACTAATTTTTCTCCTTCTTTGACTAGATTCTTGACTCGTATGTCGAGAGTCTATTAAACAAATATGTTAGCAGAATACAGATAATGCACGCACTCACTAAATAAAATACAAACAGCCAGTCGTGTCGAGTTACCTCTGTGACTTTGGTAAAATGAGTGAACGTTTGAGCGACGCTCTTTGTGGTTGATTGTGACTCGCGACATTGTTCTTTGAATCCTGAAAGTTGCCTGCCCAATTCGTCAATGTTTTCGTCAACAATTTTCAACTCTGAGTTGAAATGACTTATTTTTTTCTGCGATTCGAGAGATTCACGTCTTCTCGTCCATTCTTCTTCCCATGTGACCTTCCTTGTTTCTAGCATGGTTTCTAATTTAGATATGTCCTGTTCTGCCGCAGTTTTGGGTTCCTGGAAATAAATATTTTCTCTGAATTTTAACCGTTACTATTAAGAACGTTAAACATTTGTGTACCTGCTGTATAATTCTTGATTTTAATTGATCGCATTCGTTTTGAGTGAATCTGAACATTTCTAAAACGGCTTGTCTAGAAGCTTCGTGTTCACGAATCAGTAGTTCAACGTCAGATTCATTCTTGGGAAGTCCAGCTTTTCCGAATTGGGAATTCAAGTTCTCTGTCGTTTTATCCAACTCTACAAGATTTTTGAAGAATCCAATAAGAACTTGTAGAAGTATTTGATATTCTGAAGATATTTCGATCAGTTTTTGATGGAGTTCGATGAGTTTGTTCTTGATGTTCAATGATTGCTCATCGATTTGAGAGGACTTTGAAATGAGCGTTTCTGTCATCTTTATCCTTTGCTCTACTTCATTTTGGGCCCTTCTTATTTCAGGCAAGACAGTTTCTTGTTTTCGCTCCAAATGGTTTATGATTTCATTGGGGCTAGTTGCGAACGTGTCAATCAATGGATATAATTGGGACTCCAATTTTGTGACCCAGTTGAGTGTCTGAATGTAATGAATGAATAAATTTATCTAATTTTTAATGAAAGAAGCTTTACCAACACTAATTCACAGTTTAAAGATGTTAGCAAAAAAAATTATATCGTAGAATTTTCTTTTCTTTTTATTTGCCTGACTATGTGACAAATCAATTTGGAACCAATTACTAGGGAGACTTACCTTGGAACTTTGCATGATTATCTGTTCCCACTGCAAATGAACTTCACGACGTTCTTCAACGTCAGTTTTGTACGTCTGCCAGGTTCGTGTGACACTTACTTGCCTGTTTGAAAGCTTTTCCAGGACTGATTCCACACAAACGCAAGCCCGTTTGGTGTCGAGATGCGGTTCAGACATCTGACAAAAATAGTACATGTTTAGAATTATTACAGCAATGTATACGACGCGGTTAAATAATTCTCTGGGGCTGGCAGGTCGTGCTTTTCCTGCCAGTTTCCTGTCTCAATCGCTTTGAATCCTGCACCGTAACGGGGCACGTGAATGAAATTTAGGCATCAGTGATAAAATAATTAGAAGACTGACAACTCAATTGTAACAGAAGACGAATTCGAGTTGAGAGTGTCGGAAATGGTTTCAAAATAAATACATAGGTAATAAATGTAGATTCTTTTTTATGATTGTAATTAATTGTAATCCCTTTTTTCTGTTTATGATGTCTGTGGTAAATCATAGTAACTTAGGAATGGTTTCAAGGGAGAGAGGGCTTTATTTAAAAACTCATTTAGATTGCTAAACGAAAGGGGTAATAGAAGAGAATATTCGAAAATCAAAAGAATTTTTTCAGAAATTTCATCAGCAATGAAAACGTTGATTTCTAAAACAATAGGAAAACTAACTCTATTACCTTTCTTGCTTCATTTATGAATGTAATGCCAGTATTCTTGGCTGACTGATAAAGAGGCACAATCTGTTCCCATTCTTCTTCCATTCTTCTGAAAATATCATCTTGTGTATTTCCCACGTTTGATCGAAGTGATTCTTCGAGCTTGTCGATTTTATCGTTAACACGATCCGCCTCATTGTGGAACTTGAGATAAATTGACGCAAGATCCAAACGTTTCTCTAAAATATTTTTCAGTTTTACCCAATGTTCGTGTAGTGACTCTACTTTTGAGTCTACATCACGACGCTGGTCGTCTTCCAGATATTCCAAAATTGGTGGCAGTGTTAGTAAAAGTGAGTTAATTTCGTTGCCTTTCGTCTGTAAGAAAAAATACAAGGGTCATATCGATGATTAGCTTATCATCAAGCTTCTTGTAGAGGACTTATGCAAATATTTTTGACTCACTTGTAAATCATTGAGCAATTGGTTATGCAAGTCCAAGAAATCTTTAGCCAGTGAATAGTCACTCCCCATGTCTTGATGGCCCTGAAGAAATGCTTCCGCTATACTCTTTAGCCATGAGTATAGCTCTTCATGTTTCTCCAGAAATTCGTTTAGTGCCCTGTTAATGCGCAATTTGTCTTCTCGGTGAGCGGTACATAAGCCTTCGAGAGTTATTTTTCTGTTTTCCAATTCTTCAACTGTTCTTCTTACACCTTCGGTACCTCGACCAGGTTTCGCTTCTCTTAGTATACTATGTCTGGAATACGAAAGTAAAGTAGATACATTAAAACATATGTAATTTCATTAGTTTTTTATTCTGTTTATCTATTTTTGTTTGTTTCTTATTCTTGATTAATTAATAGAAAGTACTAGATAAAAATCTAATGTCAATATTTTCTTGAGGACGTAATAATGCATCCAAGTTCTTATAAATTTTCAGAAATGTAACTATGCATTGAAAAACACAAGAAATTACTGAGAAATTTAGAAAAATTTTTGATTCTTTAAGAAATTTCAAATATTTTTTACATTTTGAGTTTTCAACAAACGAATTTAAATTGCTGTTTTCCATTACTCACTCACCCTAGTTCAATTGGTGGTGTTGTTAGGTTTGCTACAGTTTCGGCACATTGTGCATGAAGTTTTGCAAGTTGAGGTGAACTTGATGGTAACTCGGTAGTTTGCAGTTGGATTTCTAATTGATCAAGCTTGGTGAAGGCCTGAAAATAAGACAGTGATTTGGTTTATATATAATCTTAGTAGAGGTATTTCAAAATCTCATGGGCCGCAAATGCTCTAAGGGTTGACTATATTGCATTTATATTGTATATTTCAAAAACATTGACTCGCCATACGATCAAGGATGAAGTGTAACTGGAGAAATCAATGATGGGGACATGAGGGAGTTTTGCTGTTGCGCAGTCTTAGGTCATGACCTATGAAATTCGAGATTACCTCTACCTAACAAGGTATAAGTATTATTTATCTAAATCTCCATAATTTTACAAAAAGTACTCGCTCTCCAGTGTAAATTGCTAAATCCCCGGAAGGAGTTTCCGTTTTTTCCTCCCTAAACCCCTTATGTTTATGAATATTTTACTACAGAAGAAAAATCAAGTTCCCTTTATATTTTTTTATTTCCATAGAAGTGTCAAAGTGAAATTAGTTGTCACTCCTCCCTATTTTTTTAAATTTTTTTCATATTAATATTTCGTAAAAAATTAGCGGTATGAGAACTTTGCCGTATGAACCTCTAAAGGATTTAAAGGAAAAAGAAAGCCAAATTTATTTGAAGGAAGCTTTTCTGCTATATGATAAAGAAGGTGATAATAAAATATCGTGTGATGAATTGGAATGGTTTCTCCGATCAATTGGTTATGATTTACCTCTTGAAAAATTGGAACTTCTCAAACGCAAAATTGCGAAGAGTTTCGAAGACGGAAGAATTGATTTTGAGACGCTAATGAACATTTTATCCAATGTCTCATTCCAAGATGATAATTCTGCTGTAAAGTTTAGAGATTCTTGTGCACTTTTTGACGTCGAAAAGAAAGGCTATTTAGAGTGTGAACACATGTTTATGATTCTTACATCATTCGAAGAAAAAATTACAGGAGACGAAGCAGAAAAAGCGATTGAACACTACGATTATTTTGATAATGGATATATTCCATATTTAGATTTGTATGAAGATTTTTGTTCTGGTGATTTTCTTGCCGAGTATGCTGACTACTTGAGAGAACAGAAGAAAAAAGACGCAATGCAGTATATGAATTTGTAATTTATTTTTTCATTACTATTTTAAATTGTAAATGTATATATTGTCTTTATGTGTGTATTTAGTTTTTATGTATTACGAATATATGTAAGAATGTATAACTGGTAATGAGAAAAGTAAGACCTAGACGAAGACCAAGATGGTCCCAGTCTTGGTATTGATCTTGGTCTTGTTCTATTACTTCTGGTCTTAATCTTCGTCTTGCTCGTAGAGTCTCCGTGTTAGTTTTAGTCTCGCTGATACACTCTCGGTCTTGTTCTTGGTTTTAGTCTTGCGTGTTAAGTCTTGGTGTTACTCATTTAATCTGATACTTATGTCTCTTTATATTTAGTCTTGGTTTTAGTCTTGCTCTTGTTCGTTCGGTCTTGTTCTTGGTCTTACAAGTATAAAGACAGTCTTAGTTTTGCAAGTATAAAGTAAGTCTTAGTCTTGTGAAGACTAACATCAATTTTGTTCATCGCCATGTATAACAAATTAGGTTCTGCTACCAGTGCAAAACTTAAAGTTCTAAATTCAACTAAATGTGAATGTTCTGTAGGTATCTGTCAATAACCTAAAGTTAAATGATCTATTTCGCTATCGAATATGAATAAGTCGGGTTCGATGAATGATTTGACGGTAAAGCTTTATGTAAATTCGTACCGTTTGTGCGGCTCTGAAGAAGTTAATGACTTTTTCCAACAATACATTGTGTTCACTTATTTCAGTCAAGTAGTCAGATGTTGTTGAGAGAACTTTGTATGCTTGATCTTTGGCTTGTTCGCTTGCAAAGCATCCAGATGCTTCCAATTGTTCCGTAGCTTTTGTTATTTTGAGCGCTCTTTCTTGTAGTTGCTGAGCCTCTGGCAATAATTTTCGATGCCATTGCAAGAGTAATTCTGCACTGGATGATGAATCTCCTGTAATTGAAAACGAGCATTGCTATATTACATCATTTACTTAATGATTTGAAAATATTGGTCAAAGTTGAGTTATTCAGGGTACTGATAAAAAAATTATTTCGATCATTTTTAGTACAGTAAATAAATAGTATGATTGGAAATTTATAGAGATATTTGTGGTTATAGGTATTAAAGCAATTATGAATAATCGTTCTATGAAAATGGCGGACTATCTTTAAGTTGATGCGGTTTACAGATAAAATAATATTTTGTTATATTGTCGTATATATATCCCGAGATAAAAAATGTTCAGTCTCTCAGTCTCTGAAAGCGAGACTCGAGTCTCCGTCTCTCATCGAGTCCCTCTGGTGTCGCTGAGAGAGACTGTCAAAAAAACTGTTTAGCGTCTCTGAACAAGAGACTCGAGTCGCTCGTAGAGAGATCCTCATTTCGTATGCAGTCTCTGAACGAGAGACTCGAATCTCTCAATAAGTGGTGTCTCGATAGACATGGTTAAAATTTGCTAAGTTCAACATATTTCGGAGTTCCCAGTCTTTCTACGAGAGACTCGAGCTTCTCAATTATTCAGTTATATTCATTCAGTCTCTCTGTGAGAGACTCGAATCTCTGAATTAACGATTTTATTGTTCGAGTCTCTCATACAGAGACTGTGAGAGATCCATAAAAATACCTAGGCAATAACTGAGAGACTGTGAAAGACTGTGAGAGACGCTCTCAGAGGCGCTGAAAGACTCTGAGGGACTGAAAATTTTTGTCTAGGGTAATTATTATGGTTTGGATTTGGAACTGAATAAGAGTATGACTATAACGTGAAAAGTTTCTTACTAAATTGAATCCTTAATGAGTTGGTAAATACTTATAGTGATTGCTTATGTATATGAATACAGAAAAAGAAAAAGAACTTGAATAAATTTTGTGAAATTAAACTCAAAGTGGTTTCTCTATCCAAACAAAATATTGGTCAGGATTTATTTAAATTTCATTTGTAGCAAACGATAAAATTTATTTCAGATTTTGGTAAAGTAGATTGTAGATTATTTACCATTTCATTAATCAATTATTTTATTAATACTCGTCCACAGAAACTTAATTCAGATATGCGTATACATATATGTGACATATTACTTACCTAATTCATTAGAATTTGCTAAAGCATCCCTCCCTTTATTTACTGCTTCTTCGACCTCCTTGAGGTCAACAGCAAGAATTGCTAGAGCCAAACATTGTTCTAACTGTGCCTTCCTTTTCACAAAGGTGGTCTCTAGAATTTGTCGTTTGGTGTGCAATTCGTCCATCCATTCTTGTACTTGCGCAATTGCTGAAAAGAAAATTGTATAAAAATATTTTTATCACTGATGGGAGGAAGGGGGAGAGACGCGTTTGCAAAAAAAATATTCGGGAAAGGTAAAACTATACCTAGAATTGGGACTTTAAAACGAAATTTGACTATGTTACTTTCTTTTTTAATATTTGATTTTTCATCTCTTTCCAACCTGCCGCTTTCACCTATAAATACTTGGTGTTGTACAAGGTCTCCTCACTCCCCTGCTCATTGTCTCCCCTCGAATTTGTGTTTTTTTATAATTAATCATTAATTTTACGAGGGCGGTTCAATAAGTACCCGTGTTTAAAGACAGAGGACGTTCTTGAGGGAAATTGGTGTTGTCATCGTGTGCTGCCATCTATCAAACCACGCTAAAACGAATTTCAGACTGATTGATAGGTTAGTTTGGATTTGGCAGCCATTCGACTGAGACGTGTTTCGTTATTTTCGCTAAGATGGAAAAAGAGCAGTATCGTTCGGTAACTCGCTTTTTGTTTTTGGATGGGAAAAAATGCGAGGAGATGAAAACAAAGTTGGATACTGTTTATGGAGACATTTCGCCATCTACGACCACAGTTAGATATTGCTTCAACGAATTTAAACGTGGGCAAAGATCCGTTTTTGATAGGAGCGACCAGGAAGCCTGGCAAACGTTGTTACCGAGGAAATCATTTTACGGATTTTTTAGGAAAAGGAAGAACGATCACTGGACAATACTACAGTGAGTTATTGGACCGCTTCGACAAAAAATTGAAGGAGACACGGACGCATTTGACGAAAAAGAAGGTGCGTTTTCAACACGATAACGCACCGGCACATTCATCAGGAGTTGTTGCCGCCAAAATGCATGAATTACGTTATGAATTTGCTGCCGCACACCCCGTACTCACTCGATTTGACTCCCTGCGACTTCATCTTGTTCCCTACCATGAAGAAATGACTAGCGAGAAAGAAATTTAGCTCAAACGAGGAAGTCATCGCCAAGACAGGGGGGATTTTGGAGAGTTCGATAAATCTTATTTTTTGGAGGGGTAAAAAAAATGGCAGGGTCGTTGGGAGAAGTGTATCTTTCTAAAAAGGGACTATGTTAAAAAAAAAGACTTTAAAAAACAGGTGTCTTCATTTCTAACACGGGTACTTATTGAACCGCCCTCGTATATTGTTCAATAAACTAGCTGCTACATAATTAAATTAATATTGTTACCTATCGAATCTATTACGGTAAAAATTGTTTATAACGGATTCGTTTATATCGGCTATCTCGATACAGCGATTGCCTTCAATTTTACAAAGCTTAAATACATTAAATAAGTTATTAAATCTACTTATCCTAATTTATTTAGGTATTTATTTTATTGTTACCTCTAATTGTCTTGAAACAAAATAGGTAAATCATTTATCTTACTTATTAGATTACTTGTCTAAATAAGGAAGTGAGAATTTTCATTTTTGTTTACGTATTTTACATTATGGAATATTAGCTTTGACACGTTGACTCCAAAAATGGATAGATATATTTATCAAACTCATTGCATAATCAATTGAGATTATTGCCATATTTAGTGGCAAAATTGCAGTCATTAATATAATTACTTGAGTTACAAGCAGAATATGGCAATTACATTGTCGTATGCAGGTATAATTATAAGCAAGTGATAAATTAAGCTATAAGTATTAACAATGATTCATAATGATGATTTTCCACGACTAAAGACAATGTAAATGTCATGTAAGAGTAAATAGTTGATTACTATGGAAAATAACTAAAATATTTGGTTTGGATTTGATCTGTACATATTAATATGTCAATGTATAATATTTCAAATAAATGTCTTTAAGTAATTCCTATAAACAATAGTCTTAAATAAGTTCCAAAAATTTGTATTTTATACTCTAATTTCGTCATATGAGGGCATCTTTGAGGGGTAACAATACAGTGACATCTCACTAACTATACTTAATTTTATGGGAGGGCTGAAGAGAGAATTGTTATCCACATAATTAATTAAAATGTTTTACGGAGAGTTAATGACCTTAAAAAATAAATAAACAAATGTCGTTGGTAAAAGTTGAGAAGACTATACATATAGGAAGCGAAATCTTTCATTATCTGCCAAAATAAGAAGCAGTTTAAGTAACGTTTAACAGCTGCAACAGTTAACTGAACCCGGAAAATCTGTTTAAATTGAGTTTCTCAACAAATATCAACAATGAAAAAAAATTTAAAGTACAGTTTGGAACTGCTCATAGGGAAAAAAGTCACAAGAATTTCAGGAGTTGTGGTTGCCGCTGTAAAGCTGATTGGGGGCGAGATCGCACCTCCGCCAGTAACAGTTGCACTACATGGTGTTGTTATTACATTAAATTTAATTATAAAAGGAAGTCACTTCTATGCTCGCTAACGGTTAATTTAGAAATTAGAAAAAGTTTGTTAAACGAGTACGTCTGGATCACGGTGCTGTAAGGGTGCGAAATATGGACGGTGGGCGTGGTAGAAAATAAAATGGTTGGAAGTGTCCGAAGTAAGGTGTTACAGGCGAATATGAGGATACCGTGGATAGAGAAGGCTAGAAATGAAAAGGTATTAGAGAGAATAACCGAACAGAGAACTCGATGGAAGTCAGTAAAAAATAGGTGAGATAGGTTGGTAGGACGCCTTCTCAGGCATGAAGGTCTAGTCAGAGCCATATTAGAGGCAGAAACGGGAGTTAAGAGGAACAGAGGTAGACCCATATTAGATTCCTGTTCACAAATACGTAGTTAAAAATGTGGGATGTTTTAGTTTTAGGGAAATGCGAAGATGAGGATACTGTGGATAAAGAAGGTTAGAAATGAAAAAGTATTAGAATGAATAGGAGAACAGAGGACTCTATGGAAGCGATAATAAATAGGTGAGATAGGTTGGTAGAACGCCTTCTCAGGCATGAAAGGCTAGTTAGAGGCATTTTAGAAGCAGGAACAGGAGCTAAAAGGAGGAGAGGTAGACCTAAATTAGATTATTGTTCACAAATAGTTAAGGATGTTTTAGTATTGGGGAAATGCGAAAATTATCTTAGGATAGGAAAAAGTGAAGGTGCGTGTCCTTTAGGAATTACGTTGAAAACATTGTCTTACACATAAATACCTACATAATTGTTATTATGCATATACCGGCTAAACAAATATGTAAATTTATTTTTATTTTGGAAACAAACCTCGATTTACTGACGTTCGTATTCGATCGGGTCTTGAATCTAACGTTCCCTTGGCTCCAAGTTCTTTTAATTTATTGATAAGCGAGTTTCCAGTCTGTAGCGCATTCATATGCGCTTCGAGAAGTGCCCTTCTTATCTCGTGAATGTCAGTGAGAAAGCGTTTGACGGCGTCAATCTCGATGGGCACGACGGTATCTTTGCACGCCGCTTCGAGTTCTTCCACTTTGGTGAAGAAGTCGTGAGCGTGAGTGTGATATTGTACGTTCAGGTCTAGGATTTGTTTGCGGAACTCCAGGTGAAGATTAATGTCTTTCCATGCTCGACCTAGCGACTCGGCCATGGCTGCGTAAACCTCGGCGCGAGGCTTTTGCGTGGATATCAAATGGTCCGCTTGACGTAAAAGTTCTTCTACTGGGCTTTGTTTGTTCTGAAATAAAAAAAGAAATAATGAAGAAACGGAATGCGTATACCTAAGCATTCTTGAGCTATGAAATTGAGCAAACAGAAATGTTTACACAAACGGACTGTTCGGAAGGTGGTAAAACCATTTTATGTACTCAACACTTAAACGAAAAGAACTAGAAAGGCAATTCGATTTATGGTTTTATAATTTTGGAAGAGAAACGTTACCGAATTTCTATGAACGAAATGGAGGTTAAATCGTTGAATAACTACAAGTAACGCATTCAAAAACATTAATAGGTAATCGGAAAGTGAATTGTGAGGGGTTTAATTTGGTAGTTAGTGAGAAGAAATCCAATACTACCCTTCCTCGCTGTTATTGGTGAGAGCGGCACATTGTAACTCAATACCAAGATCCTCAGTTTCGCATACGGTGTAGCGTTCTGTAGGTTATTACCTAGCATATAAATCGTAATCGGAATCATTTATATGAACAACTGAAGATGGTCTTTATTGATCTTAATACTGCCTGAGGTAGAGCGGTTTTAGCTGGTAGTTGGTGGGAGGAAATCCAAGACTACCCGTCCCTACTGTTATGGCGAGAGATTTCAAGATCCGCAATTTCGCATGCGGTATAGTAATCTGTAGTTTATTACCTAGCATATAAATCGTAATCGGAATCATTTATATGAACAACTGAAGATGGTCTTCCTTGGTTTTAATACTGCTTGAGGTAGAGGGTTTTAGCTGGTAGTTGGTGGGAGGGAATCCAACACTATCCGTCCTTACTGTTATTCGCGAGAGTTCAAGATCCACAATTTCGCATGTGGTGTATTAATCTGTAGGTCATTACCTAACATATAAATCAGAATCGGAATCATTTATATCAACAACTGAAGATGGTTTTTATTGATCGTAATACTGCCTGAGGTAGAGCGGTTTTAGCTGATAATTGGTGTGAGGGAATCCAACATTATCTGTCTTTACTGTTATTGGCAATATAGTTTAAGATCCGCAATTTCGCATGCGGTATAGTAATCTGTAGTTATAACCTAGCATATAAATCGGAATCGGAATCATTTATATGAACAACTGAAGATGGTCTTCATTGGTTTTAATACTGCTTGAGGTATTGAGGTAGAGGGTTTTAGCTGGTAGTTGGTGGGAGGGAATCCAACACTACCCCTCCTTACTGTTATTGACAAAAGAGTTTAAGATCCACAATTTCGCATGCGGTATAGTATTCTGTAGTTTATTACCTAGCATATAAATCGGAATCGGAATCATTTGTATGAACAACTGAAGATGGTCTTCATTGGTCTTAACACTGCCTGAGGTACAGCGGTTTTAGCTGATAGTTGAATGAAAGCAATTATTGTTTGCTGAAAATAAACATTCTTGATAGAAACTGCATTTTTTGTTTCCCTATAGCGGCAGAATTTCTGTGTACTATAAGAAGTAACGGTTATTGTTTGATTGTTTTTGCAGCACCCTCGGATACTTTATGGTCGATTGTTTTTACTTTTTAACGAATGTGGGCGTCGAAGGCACATTTGGAATGATCGTTCCATGTCTTAAACAATTAAAAAATATGCAATCAAACGCCAACGTGTTTTACAGCACTGGTCAGAGAAGTTTATTGCTTGCCCGCGTCGTGCCGTACGTATCGGCAAGGGAATACACATGGTACATGGACATAAATTATGGTTCTCTGTTTTCCGCGATGTGTTCGTCTAAGTAAGTACATATTATGTGTATACTGAAGTTGTACGACCTCATGAACAGGACAGTTTAATATTGAGAGAATTATTGCTTCCAAGATAACGCATCCAGCATCCCGTACAAGTAGTAGTTGCGGTAACAGCCATTTTAACTCACGAGGATGGAGGTAGGTATCTTCTTGGAACTTTTTCGGTTAATAACCTAAAGGTACAGTGAAACATGCAATATTGTTGCATAAATGTTGGTTGTACTGGATAGCAAAGACTTGTTGGCCAAACTCAATAAATTTATGGTATGATGTATCTACCAGCTGTGCCCGTGACTTTGTCCGCTTTGAATTTGCTTTTTCATTTTTGGAAACAGTATTGGAAGACAGACTGCTAAAGACTAAAGCATTAGCAGGTATGAAGGGACTTTCAAAAACAGCAGTCCTTAGAATCCTACATGAACATTTAATTGTTACGAGTGATGACTACGATGACTATGGTCAAAGGTTACTCAATCTTAGAGAAAGATTATGACTACAATCTTCTGGGATTCTGAGTGAATTTCGTAAATGAATTTTTAAGAATGCAACACATCAGTTATGGGTAATTATTATGCTACCTTACTATATTAATTACAAGATGCTATTAAAGAAAAACGTCGAGGAAAACTATGACGGGGAGTGTTGTTGCTCAGTTCACACATCGAGTGTTTTCAAGAATGCCATTAAGGAATGTGGTTTTGTTGAGCTCAACCATCCACTGTATAGTCTCGATTTGGCCCCAAGTGACTAGCAATTCCCAAATTCTTTACTATAGCGAAATTTTAGTTTCTTTGGCTATCGTTGTTCTTCAAACAGAAAGTCGCAAAAATCATTATAAAATTGTTTTCTCTTTTGTTTTTAATTGATCAAATTAATTAACCTCACAGTAAAATTAAGAATCTACACTTTTAGCACATTTTAAGCATAAAAATATCTCTGATTTCTAATAATAACCTATTTTGTTTATATTTATTTACAAGAAATTTTCATTGAGTTGTTTCATTTTATTTTATAACTCTGAAAATTTAAAAATAAGGATCTTGTTGATAGGTTTTGTTCTTGGTTTGGGTCTTGTTCATTTAGACTTTGACTTAGTCTTGCAAGCATATCTAAAGCTTGTTCTTGCTGAAAGTACAAAATCAAGACAGTTTTTGCTCATGAAGCTACTATCCAAACTTCTCTTTTACCCTATTACTACTCTCTTCTCTTCAAATAATGGCAGGTTGGAAAATATTGTGTTCTACTGAAAATCTTTGCCTCAATGTCATTTATTATTATTACATATCCTTTTTGCCATCTTTATTTAAAATTTTTTGATGACGGAATCCATTTGTCAATCTGTTCTCCTTAAAAACCATGTGAAATAAAATGAAACTCTTTAACAGCAACCTGCCACACCTTACTTATAAAATAGTAAAAGAATAAATACCTGTGTACATGTATCTTCTATAAAGTATAAATAATTTATTGAGGCAATAATAAACTACGATTCGACGGCGATAGCTGGCGGGGTGTTGTGGATGCTGTCTGCGATGAATACAAATCGAAGAACGTGTTTTATTTTTCGTGCCGTGACTAAAACGTGCCATCTAAGGCTGGGTCTTTAAGAACAGGCCAAGGTGAAGTTATTGCGGGCCATATAATAGATTAACAGTATTCATTTGCATAACAGTTTGACCCTCACCTGTATTTTGTGGCTAGTAGAGAGCAAATAAAGAGTATCTTTTGCATACCGGTGTAGCCGGTCGTTTGTGCTGATGTCTAGCGAGAGAAACGCATTGAGTTTCTTCTCGATCTTTTGATTACACTTTACTACCACTACATATACATATAATAGTCGTTGTTCAATGAAGAATGTTTAACAACGTCAAAGAAAAAATGAATAATGCACGTCTGTATGTTCTTTTATAGGACTGTTTTTATATGGTGCGAAGTATTTTGAACTTTGATGGAGTTTCATCCAGAAATTGATACTTTTATATGTTAAAATCGAATTATAATACAAATAATGTTATAATAAGGCCACAATTTACTTTACATTAGTTTCCTTGCACAATAAAAATTGAATACAGAAGTTATTAATGTATATTCAGTTTAACTGTTGTAAACTTTGTCATCTGTGTAGTAGGGAAGTTTGGCGTTTAATTAAGAATGTTTCCGATGCAGTGTTGAATTTGAACAGTATGACATCAACTAGAGGTGGATATCAATTTAAAAATTGGTCAGAACATTCGTTAAGTTCGATACCTAGTGTATAGTTCGAAAGGGATTTAATAAAGGAGTATTAAACAGAGGGTCAGGGCGCAATGAGAGTCAATAAAGAGATATGCTGCTACATAGAATATCTTCTGATATACTAAAAGAAAGTCAGAATTCTACTGAAAATTTCAAAGTAACCCATAGTTGTATACGTATTTTCCTAATCGCAATGTACAGTCTATTTCAATTTGTTAGAATTGTGACCTTAAAGAAATCTGCGCGAAGATAGAAAGAATACACACTAGGCGTGAGCAAGACAGAAATGGTTGGAACAAGCTAGAACGAGCACAGCTCTTGATGGGCGGTCTTAGGAGATCGGCTAGAACTGTACAGTAGTAGACGAAAATGTTTAGCAATTTCTTAAAACAAAAATGTATATAAATTAACAATAGAAAACAAAGCAAAAGTTTTATAGGTGTGTAGAACGTTAAGTTAATTCACTTGTTATTATTTTTGGCTAAATATGCTTTTAAATAAAGCATATTCTTAAATTTTAACAAGGCAGTTTAAATAATTTTGCAAATGGTACTGTACACTTTTGTCTAGTTCTCGCTCGATGATGGGTGGTGAAATCAGCTCCGCAGACAAATATGATTGAATCTGGAATTATGCTACTGCGCATCCTAATAAAGAGAAGGGGCAAATCTTTAACTTCTTAAAACGAACAATAATCAGGTATATATTGGAGATGGGAGTGAGCTTGACCTTACTTAGGGTTAAAGGTATTCATTTAAACTACACTTTAGGTTTTTCGGTGAAAAATTTTTGAATGTAGTATGAAGTATTCATAAATAGATTGCTAGCGGTTTTCAGAATTCCAAATTTAATTTAAAATAGAATCATAACATTCAACCAGAATTATTTTCGGTAATAATGTCAGTGGAATATATTTTGAAGTATATATAGAATATATAAACTACATGAATGATTAGTGACAATGATTCTGACACACGTATGTCAACTTCCCCAAATATCCTTTAAATCGGGTAGGTAGGTATAATTTCCACTAATAAAAGGCAACAAAACAATTTACAAAATACTACAAATGGCGCGGTAAAGCCATCTGTAGTACGATGCTACATTTTAGGATTACGTATGCTCCAACAAGGTCCATTTAAATATATGGATATCTACTTGCTGAAACGAATCCCGGCGTAGCTAACCACTACGTGATAGGCACGTTACCATAATCGAATGCGAAGTGATCTGTATTCTGACCACTTCTAATTATTTTATTCAAAACAATTTACAATTAATTGAAATAAGTCTCATTTTGATGATCTTGCGTCAATTTTTCAGTTTTGTCTACAAAATTATAATACGATAGGCCACAGGGCATTATATTTTTAGCTGATGTATATCTTCATATTTCCTTAATTAAATGCGGAAAGGGTTTGAGCTAGTTAGACCTCCTTCTTGAGTAAAAAATTGTGAATTATGCTTGATTATATACTTCCATATTATGTTTCTAATAATTTGTTGTACAGCAAGAGCAAGTGCTTTGAACAGATTTTTATTTCTATGTTATGGCTTTCTCGTAAATTTACTAGTCTGCAGCTGCTTCTTTTTTTATTTATCCGTCGTAAACCAAACGACAAGGAAGTAATTTATCGTTCACTTATGTTAAACATATTTGTTTGTATGCCTTACGAAAATACCAATGGATCTTATTTGTTAAATGTTGAAATATGCTGAGAATTTTCTATTTTAACGTGGTTATGCTCGTAAGTTAGTTATAAGTGCAAAAAATATAGGTAACTACAATTTAAAGTAACAGATTAAATTTAAAGTAAGTAAGCGTTTAACTCATTTATGTAAGCTATTGATTTTGGGGTTGTTATCAGAAAATCGTCACTGACACTATATAGATGAAGGCCCCATCAGCAATACATTGATGAAAGCGATTTCTGAAATTTCTAGTCGCATTTTGGCATACCCCAACGGGTATAATGGCTATTTCTTTCCAAATTCGATCCTTCAGTTCTTCCAACGTATGAGGCTGGCAGAGTTAAACAGGTTTTACATTGTAATGGAAAATCCGGGAGTTTTTAGATAATATCTACATAGAATCTGACTCTAGGACTAATTTGTAGTTCATTCTTAATGTCAAACGTTAGTCAGTCTAAATTCTTCATCATCTGCGGCAGTTGCCGATGTTTTTATAGGTGGCTTTCTAGATCTATGCCTATGTCCTCATGAATTCGTAGGTTTTAGTTGTTCAAGATCTTCTTGTACTCTCTTGTAGAGCGTTTATTCGGAGGAGGATGGTACATGGCAGGAGTAATTGAAGCCATTTCCCAGCAATTGAATTTAATGACCTCTATTCTCATGGTAGGAGTACTTTTTTGTAGAAAATAGTTTAAACAGAGGGTGGGTGATACAATAAATGATCGATTTCAAAGTCAAATAACGCATTGATTTTGATCTCTCCTTGATGTGTAGTTGATAATTACTCGAACGTAAAGAAGAGGTCGTCAATGTTCAAACTTCAGTATGTGCTAGTGTTAGTTGAATGTTTGGATTGATATTTTCTTTTCGACAGATGTTCTTTTTGATATGATGACTTAAAGTTAATTGAGTTATTCTGAGTTTCTTACAACTTAACTTTTCAAGCTGTTTAAGATCTGCATATACCTGTATAATAATGTTGTATGTATTCTTACGTAACCGGTCACTTTTAGTAACACTACTACTCACCTATGTTTATTTAGATGTTCGCGTAATCTATGTATATTTTAAGCGCTGTTAAAACATCTTCTATCTCCATTGATTATAAGCCTACATTTTATCAGACATCAATTTTATTAATCACTTTGCATTAATAAAAATTTATCTCTGTGCCAGTGACTAATTATTTCATTAATTCCTTTAAGTTTCTGATACTTTTTAATTGGACAACGTTTCTCAATTTAGAGGGTTTAGTTGACAGATATTGTTATTTTATATTTATGCCCTTAAAACATTATAGATTACTATGTTAGATAAAATCTATTTTTCGAATGAAAAGGATTTCATGTTAAGTAAATATTTCTATTAAATACTTGTACAAACCTGTAGTTGTCGAAGAACTTCATCGTGTGCCTTTTGCAATTCCAGTGCTTCTTGCAGAGTATTTCCAAGACTGGCCAAGTCTGGGGTAATTTCCAAAACTTTTAAGTCCAGCCAATCTCCGCACTGTAATTAACAAAATAAAAAAAACGATTAAAGTGAGTCTATTTTCACGTTGCGTACTTCAGTTATAATTGCGCAAAAATTACGAAAAGCAAACAACAGTTCACTTCTAAATACCGGCTTCAAATGCTGGAAGAACAAGGTTGTTTTTGAATATAACGTAAATTTTGAAACAGAGAAGGTATGCATATGTAATGAGGTTCGTGATGTCAACATTTGTTAATTTTTATTTAAGTCTGTAAATTGTCAGTGTACTTGGACAATATATATAGTAAGTATACAGAATAGTCAAAAATTTATTGCACTGAAATCGATTTTGTTTGTTTCATCCGTGATCATACATGCCGATGTCTATAGTGCATAGAGGTTTGCATGCTTGCCCATGGCCGAAAGAACTTTTTCTTAGGTAAATATTGCAGAAAAAAAAAGTGAGGCTTGAGCCCATGTAGGAAGTCACAACAGGATCAAGTTTGGTTTTATTCGTGGGGTGTTACAGAATTACATGTTTCTGGAATCAAATCATATTACGTTTTATAATCCGGACGTAATTAATTCTTTATAAGTGATTTATAAGAAGACTAGTGACCTGCCCCAGCTTCGCATGGGTGCAATGCTGATACTAAATATATAGTTTTGTTTTGTTTAGATTATTATCGAAAAGGGGAAATCTTCAAAAGATACCCCCTGAACATACTAAATATACTACAGAATGTCTTTATATACAACATTCACAGTTTTTTTTTTGTCATTAGATAATACAAACCGGCCTCCCGGTCGGTACCGCCGCAACCGCTATATCCCTGCATTTTAAATCTCTAATCTCTTCGAAAATATTCATTTAAATTACGTGTTGTAAAGGGCCATATTGATCTATATTAAATGCACAATGTATTTAAAAGTTAATTGGATAAGAATTAATGCTGTATTGCCTACAATCGCTTCGTCATTATTTCTCATAAAAAGTAAAGGATAAAAACGGTTATTGTGGGTTATCCATAAGAGATAGACATATACCATCGCGGACTTTTTTGTAGACCCTTTTAAGATGTATAATATTGTAGTACATTATTTTGATCTATCTNATACAAACTGGCAGGTACCGCCGCAACCGCTATGCCCCTGCATTTTAAATCTGTAATATCTTCGAAAACATTCATTTAAATTACATGCTGTAAAGGGCCATATTGATCTATATTAAATGCACAATGTATTTAAGGTACTTAATTGGATGAGAATTAATGCTGTATTGCCTATAATCGCTTCGTAAATAAGTCATTATTTCTCTTAAAAAGTAAAGGATAAAAATGGTTATTGTGGGTTATCCCTAAGAAATAGACATATACCATCGCGGACTTTTCTGTAGGCCCTTTTAAGATGTATAATATTGTAGTACATTATTTTGATCTATCTCGTAGGGTTCAGCCAGCGTTTGCAATGTAAGCGCAAAAAATGTGTTTATTTACGAAATCACATTAGAAACCTCTAAAATTGTCAGTGTTTCCCTGCTATATTATGCATGGATTATACATATAAACCTTCCTCTTGAATCACTCTATCTTTTAGAAAAAACCGCATCAAAATCCGTTGCACAGTTTTAAAGATTTAAGCATACATAGGGACAGACAGCGGGAAATCGACTTTGTTTTATACTATGTAATGATTAAAAGTTAAAAGGAATACTCACCCCTAATTACCACAAATAATTTTATTTGAACGGACACGTGTTTCGCCCACTTGGTATCCGCTCAAATAAAATTATTTGTGGTAATTAGGGGTGAGTATCTATTCCTTTTAATTTTTAATTAATATTTACCACAGTCTGCTCTTTCTACATTACTGAAACATGTTAGGTAGATATGATGATATACTTTTGTTGATTTTCGTTATTACGTTTATTACATGGGATCAGGCCACAACCGTCTGTCAGTCCACATGTATCTGTGCCTCGGTGGATGTATTTCGTTGGGTTCGCGTTTGAATGCGTATTGTAGCACTTCCGGCGGAGGTGGCGGAAGGGAACCTGACACCGTCGGCCGTGATTTGCTTACCTATCGAAATTTTGAGCCTAACAGACACGTACCATTCACGAAAAACCATATATGTGTACGTGTGCCCATGTATTTAGTACCGTACATGTTACCCCACACACAAAGGGGATTGCATCGAGTTGTGGCAGCACTTCTTAACAAAATTTGCAAGAGCATCATAAAACTATTACTAGATATTATATTACTTTACACAGAATCTAACAGAACGAATATACAGTGTAAACTCTATGTAACGACACTTAAGGGACTGAACATTTTTCGGGGTTATAAAGAGTGGTTGTTAAATGGAGAGAAATAAAAGATATTATTTTACTATTCTATAATAATATGCATTTACCAATAGATATAGTGCACATTTTGCACACGAACATTATTTTTCATACATTGCGTATAGCCTGTTATCTTCGTCTGATGTTTTTTGCTGCTCCAATATTTTAATTGTATTTTGTTACGTATCTTACTCATATCTT